CTTCTACCTATCTCTGTTTTTGGGCTTTCATACTCATTTTTTAACCATAATAAACCGGCTTTATTGCCCTTGGGTTTTGTTTTTCCACTGGTCATCCTTATCAAGGATGGTTCCTGGGGGTTTTTGAGACATTGATATGGTGCAAGATGTGTTGTCCACTTCTATGTGATTTGCCATGTGGTTAGTCGAAGCATTCTTTTCTGACTCCGTCGTTTGAACTTTTACTTGCAGCCTGGAAACTTTTCTGAAACAATTTTAACACTTGAAAAGGGACATTACAAGGCTGGAAGTATGGTCGACTGTTCTGGTCATTAGATGCAGCTTGTTGCAGTTTTTAAAGAATGGATGCAGGAGTGTTGATATTAATCGCTTGACTATATTGCATGCTGATCTTTCCCGGTGGAGCAGGGAACAACTTCAAATATTTTGAGTCATTACTTACAGATCAGGAAGCTCAAAATTTCTGTTCCTCATGTTTTTTCATCTCAGATTCTCAGTGCGCTGTTTTATGCCCCTCTTGTAACATTAGAGATGTAAAAATTTCTGTGCCTCATGTTTTTTTCTTTTCCCTTTTTTTACCCTTCAAGTAACTTTGCTGGAAGTGAAGTACGATTCCGATTTGATTAACATTCTACTTGTGAATATTTCCTTGATATATGAACACGTTACACGTCACTGGGAAAATATAGCGAATAACATTGCCCTGACCAAGGAGAATCTTATGTTTATCATTGACTGTCCAGGCTCTGAATTTGAGAACTACAACTCTCCGTGCTCCTCAACACTATCTAGCTTCATTTGAGGAAAAAAGAAAAAACAATACTTTGCTTTTAAGTCTGAGTAAGAAAATCAATTGTACAGGATATGATGTTCTGTTGGTTGTGTTTCTGTTTTTGGTGGTCTTTTGTATCCCTAATCTATCTTACCGATTAGTTAGCTAAGATGATACTTGTCACCGAGGGCGGCAAGTGGGTCGGGCCCTAAACGAGACAAACGGGCCAAATGGTTCCGGTCTTAACGTGCTTTTTGTAGGAACCAGTCCGGGACCGGGTTTACTAACTCATGGTCCCGGATTAAACGGGCCGGCCCCGCGGTCCAAACGGCCTAAATGGGCCCAACGGTTATGCAGTAATTTTTTTCTAATTAAATACTAACTTAGAGACAAAAAGATGTTAAAAAAACATCTAAGGTAATGCCTTGTAATTTTATTATAGAATTGTAACCTAATTTTTTTAATTCAAATTTAAACACAAAAATATTGTAAAATAACATTCAAAGCAATGCCTAGTAATTTTATTATAACAATAAAAAATATGAAAACATCTTTCTTAGTCTTCCTCCCCCCTATGGAATGAGCACGACAAGGTGCTAATACCACCATTGAGAAGAAAAAGGAACTAATCAAGAAGTACCAAAAATACAAGTTACTACTAATTTTTGTTCATACAAGTTACATGTTATCTGTTACAAACTTCATAAATCCTTCAAGGTTCGGAGGAAGTTCTGTTGGTGGTGGCGGAAAAGTAGCTTGTTCATCACCGCTTCCATTCTCGGACGAAGTAGCATCTTCAGCAAGTTCAGCTAGCATTTCTTCATAAGCTTCGTCTACCTCTGGTTGTGATTCAGCAAGTCCAAAATTTCTTCTTTCTGAACGGATCCAATTTCTAAAAAGTACTGATTTTTCCAAGCTATCCTTCATAGACTGTCTATGATCACCGATTTGAAGTCTTGCTTGACTGAAGCTCTCTGATGCCATTGTTGAAACTTGAATAGTTAAAATGTCTCGGGCCATCCTTGAAAGAACCGGAAAGTGCATTTCTTTGTCCTTCCACCATTGTAAAATATCAAATGTGCTGTCGGGATTCACTTCCTCAAATTATTGCGACAAAAAAACTTCAAGCTCATTTAGTTGTGAAAAATCATTACTACTAAAACTAAAAGAACCCCTAATTCCCGCTCAAACACTAAGTCTTCTTACTCCCGCAGTTCTTTTAGAAGGTTGAGAATCAGAAGAAGAAGGAGTTGGAACATTTGGTCTAGCATAATTTAATGCAACTTGATAAGCAATATAAATAGTTTCAGCATTTGTTCTAATTGAGGCTATTGCTTCCGGAAGTTTAGGTTCCTCATCATCTTCAAGTGCTAAACCCTTATAAACAGTCTCACACCAAAACTGAGGACCTCCTAATTTCATACAAGGATTTAACAAATTAGCAACACCACAAATAGGGGGAATATGAAAAAAATATTTTTTAAATTTTATTCTCATAAGATCAATAACAAGTTGATAAATTTTCTCATCCTGTGAAAAATGAGCAAACAAATTTGCAAGTTCTGCGATATAAACCAAACAGTTAGAAATAGTAGGATAATATTGCCCCAAAAATTCTTTTGTAGCAATATGAAATTTTTCTATAAAATCAACAAGTATTTTAACATTAGCCTAATCCCCATTTGTAAAGTAATCGTCATCATCACTTACATGTGCATTAAACGTTGAGCTTATGAGATTTTTATATTCATATGCAACGACCAAACTTTCATACATGTAATTCCATCTAGTTGGACAAGGTTTAGGAGCCTTTCTTTCTCTTAGGCCACAATCATCGCACATTTTAAAATACTCTCTATGTCTACTTCTACGGTTAGAATGAACCGGTAACAGTGTTAATTTCCGGTTAGAATTGATTTGAATCGGTACTAGGGTCAGTCTGACTAGGACTGGGTGCACTTTTCCCCTCGCCCAGAGCTTTCATACGAAGATATTTGGCATTATTATTAGGGTGTTTATCTATGTGTCTAGCCAAAGATCCCGTCCCCAACTGCATTGGTGCATATTTAAAAGCTAACTCTAGACCACAAGTTTGACACTTAGCTTTATTTTTTTCAACTAGTTGAGTAAAAAATAGCCAAAGAGGAGATGTTTCTGTCCGTTTGATACGTTCTTTAGAAAAGTAGGAGCAGTAACGAGAGTATCAGTTGGGTCATCATTAGGATCAGCAGCGTTATCACTAGTTGGGTCAACATCAGGAGCATGACTAGTGGGTGTATCATCGTCCGGTTGAGTTTCATCAAAATCAATTTCCTCATCATCATTTTCATTAATAGTATTATAATTATTAGAATAGAGAGCATTCATTAATTCATGGTTTTAAAAATTCATCGGGTGTAATATTATGGCAAAATTCAGTGTCGATAAATTGTAATAAAATATTATCGGTATCAAAAATAGCAGGTGTAGGACGGCTACGGGGTTTGGATTGGGAAGCCGGGGGCAGGGAAGGAGGAACAACATTACTACTAGATTCGCCAGTCTTAGATTTTTCCTTATTCTTACTTTTACCAAAAATATTTCTTAAGGAAGACATCTTAATTAATCAAGTAATAGCAACTAAATAAAACAAACAAAACTATAATATTAAGACTTAAGAGTTGGAACGAGTTTACCAAATTGACGAACAACTTGTTGAAAATTGATTATCTTTGAAGACTTGCCGCCCTTATCACCAACTTCACAAATTCTAACAACCTCAATATTTTTTGGAATAAAGTAAGTAATAGTAGTAACCTCACAATTTTTCACTATTTTTTGTGATAAAGTAAATAATTGTAGTAAGTATTGAAAAAAAAATATAGAGATTTTGATAGACTAATATTGATTTTGTAAGAAAAATGAATGAATGAGAGGGTATTTATAGTAGAAAATAGGGAAAAAATATAATAATAAAAAATTTGGAGTTAAAAATTAGNGCCAAGCGGTTATTTTTATAAAAAAAATCGTTGGGCCTGTTTGGCCCGCCAAGGGGCCGGTCCAGTCCGGTCCAAATGATTCCAAAGCTGAAAACTAGCCCATGAGACCGGCACGAGCCCACCAATCACGGGCCAAACGGTCCTAATCGTTTAGCCCGTTAAGCCCATTTAGCCTAGTCCGACCCGGACCAGTTGCCAACCTTACTTGTCACTTTCTGTCTTTATGAGAAACCCAAGCCAAAAAGGTGGTAGCTCCGTGCCTAAACAAGTATGGCTCTTGAGCCCATAAGGGTTGGTAAGATGGTTGGGTGAGTGATTTTTCATATGGGAGACTTAGGATCGTTTTTCCTCACCAGCAGCTTTCTCAATTAGAGTTTATCGCACCGCACTTGTCTAGTGCGATTTATATTTCCTGTATGGTTTGAGAGTATTTCACAATGAGTAGCGAAGGGTAGCGGCAACAAAAAAAGTAATATGACTATTAGTTAGAAATGTATTTTTATGTTAGATCAATGGATCTTGTGTGTGCTTATGTTAGATTCGTTTGAAACCAAGGATTTGTTGCAATATATGTCTATTATTTTGATTATTATTTCGGTCAGGCATCTATTTTCTATATATTAGATGAGTTGGAGTTTTGACGTGTGTGTTTATTGTCTTTTTTATAACGCTTGAGGGTAATTTAGTCATTTCACATTAGTTCTTGCAAATGCCATGTACGTGTTGTCTACACAAATCTACTGCAAGTATGTTTCACTTTCAATCAATTTTGCCCATATCTTCCCTCTGGGTTTCTTTTAGGTTTTCGTCATCATTGCTACTTTTCGAACTTTAATGATTTTGCATTTTTCTTTTCAATCTTTTTCCCCCAATGTATTCTTTTGGCTAATTATGAAGTTCAGTGTGGCTGTTGCAGATTCTCTTTGCCTGTTCTTTTCTCATTTTTCTCGGATTCTTTTTCACTTGTTTAAATTTTTGCCTGTCTTAGTTTGGGTTCTCTTCATGATTTTTAATTTTTCAATCTAATGACTGGTGTGTGTTAAATCGGGTGGTAAAACTGTATTTTTAAACTCTAAGCTTGCTGAGTTTTGGACTTCCGTGGGTTTCTGGGTTTTTCGCATACTTCTTAATTTTGCTATTTTTGGCTGTTGTGTGCTAAAACGGAATTTTAATATAAGCGCATTCTTTTAGAAGTATACACTTTATTGGGATAATAAAGAAATTATTGTTCTATGATTCAACCGGTGGATTTCGATTTCTCTGATTGAATATGAGGACCAGAATGACATTAACTACATTTAGTATAAAAGAGAAAGTAAGCTAATATATTCATTATTAGGAGAAGAGTTAGACTCTGTCAAAGGCATCAGAATGAGTCATAATTGGCAACAAAGACAAGAACAAGTAGTAGAAGAACAAGAGGAAAATAGATATCCACACGTGCATAACCAGCAGATTCAAAATCATCTTGTCCCCATGTATGCTCTCTGTGAGAGATTGTCATCAGTCTACCTTTGTTAGCTTCCTTTAATAGGAGTACAATATCATATTATAGAGAAGAACCGGAAGGTTTTACATAGCATCGAAACTTTCTAGAAATTGTATCCTATGTAGATTTAGAAGATTGTGATGGAGGGTTTCTGGAGAACAAAATCTGTGGCTCACTATCATCACATACCTTATAAACAATGCCAAAATTAATTGCTAGTAGAGAAACTAAAAGAGTTGGTGGAAGTGATTGGCCTTGGTAACAAGGATTGGGCTTTGTAAACAAGAAACATAGAGAGCAACCTCTAGATAAGTCTTTGTACTTATTCTTTTTAATCTGCTAAGGTAGTAATTGAAGTAGACAAAGAGCTTCCTTTCATTAATTACTAAAAAATAGAGCTAGCTCACCGAAAATAATTTTACAAGAATATAACTATCAATTTTTTATTTTTTTTGCAAGAATATCTTTAGCATAAGAAAGTGAAGCATTCATTAAAATTTCATTCACTGTATGACGAGTTCATTCATTTGGACAACTTGTTAGACGTATAGTCATAAATATAATTACCTAATGCAAAGCAAACACACAAATATAAGTATGTAATAACAACAATGCCTCAATCTCAAGCAAGTTGGGTAAACTTATGAAAAGACTCCTAACAAATATTGGACCTAGACTAATTGTAATAAAAGGATCTAAGACGTAATCTCAACTTACTACCACATGTATAGATCTTTTCTTTATATTGTGCCCTATTTTTTGCTAAGATAACTCCTTAAACACATAAATAAAAGACAAATCCAAAAAACTATCCTTTTCAATCTTCAAGAAATTCATATGTAAACTATGTTAGACCTTTATTTGTCTTAACATACTCATACCGAACGGATGTGATATTGGTTCACTTTGTGCAGATTCTCCAATATAAAAGAAAAATTTGCACATATTGTTGATACAACCTTCTCTAAAAACTACAGACTTATATAATAAGCATTTTCAGAGAATTCCAGATGCATTTGGATAATTTTCTTAGCCTATTTTCTATCAGCAGAGATGTTAATATTCAGCAGGTGTGTGCTATAGAGTTTTATTCTTAATCTGTAAATGGTTCTTTTGAAAAGTTTCTTCTTTGTGAACACCGGACATTCTTGATAGAATATTAAAAACTTGTTTTCTTATCGTGTATATTTTCCAATAGAACGAATGTTACTTTTTTCTCTCTCTTTTAAATTATTAATTATCTCCTGTCCTCTGTATATTTTTGGTTTATAGGTTGTAACTAATTCTGTCTATTAAGTGTTCATTCCAAAAGTTTTAGTATTATTTTCTGACTTTCACATAGTCTGAAATTTCCTATTCAACCAAAAATAATTTGGACTAGCCTAGTAATACTAGCAAATTACATGCATAAAATAAGAATTTAGCCTAAGCTATATTCCTTCACCCATATCGGCAAGGAAAAATCGCCTTCAAGTAACCAAAGGATGTGGAGATCTTCTCATCCAAAAATAGCTTAATACTAGCAAATTATGTAATGATATAAGCATTTAGCCTGAGCTATATTCTTCTATTCAACCCAAAGTTATTGTTTCTATAGACTCCAAGCCAAGTTTGGCGACATATATACAACAGATGATTCCATTAACCATAGAACAGATAATTCTATGGGGAACAAACAAGATTAATCATTAGAATATCAGCAAAGCAAAACAATTTTTGTCATAAACAAGACTTGCAGTTCTAGCGAGCAAGTAGTTGCTTCTAGGCTAAACATATGTTGTAGGGCAATTTATTCTTGAGATATATAACAATTTGCGAGTTATAGTAGGTTTCTTAAGACATGTTCTGATCAAAAGGATCCACAGAATTGTAGTCAATATGTTCTTGAAACTGAATAGCTGCCAAGAAAATCTCCTCTAACATTTCTAGACTTACCAATAACAGGATAATAAAGATTGTAACTTAGCTACATATGTACAAAATATTTGAAACTTTATTCTTAAAGGCACTTGTTTCAATGACTATATTTCTATTTATTCATAAACCTTAATAACATAAAGAAAAAACTTCCACATGAGCATTGCAATAATTTTATTAAAGGCTACAATAGAATTTCAATCTACTAACCTGTTAAATGATTCAATCTATTGCTCAATTGAAGATAGTGATGAAGGCTGATCAAATACTGCACTTGCAAGCTGTGTGTATTTACTGTCTAACACATCATATTTACTCTTTAGTCCTCCAAACGTCCTTTTAGTGATTCATTTTCCTTTTTAGTAGCATTCAACTTCTCTAATAATGCAGTTTTCGAGGAGTTGCCACCTTTCAACTCCTTAGCGGTTATTCCACCACCAAATCTAACTACATGACTCTTGCGTTGAGGTCCAAAGCACCTCTCTACAACCTCAATGTTTGTAAGAGATGATTAAGATTGCACCACTTCTTGGATTTTAGACTATAAATAAAAGGTAATTTAATTAAAATACTGCAACACGGTAAACAAATGATGTAAAATAAAATTTATCAATAAACATACATATTTTTCATTGGTTTCAGGTTCAACAAGCTTACTGTCCTTCTTCAGAGTCTCAAAAAAGATAGTTGCCACATCTGGTGGATTGCCATCTTTACCTCCCTTCATATTAAAATAAACAAGTCAAAGAAATATTTTTAACAGGGATGAGATTTCTTAACAGAATTGCAAGATTTACTCACCAATTCATAAATGATTTCTCTATTTGGCTTACTACCCGTACGATGAGGCATACTCAACTCAGACCTATTGACCGAGTTTTTTACACTTTTTTTCCTAAATTGAGAACACACCAAAAAATTATGGTCAGCCACTTAATATAACAAGATGTTAATAAATAGTTATGAAATCATACCTTAAATATTTCTGATAAAAAATGCTCTTTGACAAGCCATTCTCAATTACTCTTGTCTACCCCATTTGGCACATCTTTTAGAGCATCACGAAATGGCTTAGACTTAATATTCTTGTGCAGTGATCCTCTCCAATTATTCCATAACTTTCTCATATGTTTCAAGACATGATCTCGTTAATCATTTATGTCATCACTATCAAATTTGTTCTATAATATTCACAAGTATCAGTAAACATGGAACTTATCCAGTAAACTAGAAAATAAAAATTTAACCACCTGTGTGTATCAAAAGAGATGATAAATAGCTTATAAAGGTTATTATACAAGTTCTAATTGATAGAGAGGGCAATATAGTCATTGAAAGTGGGAGATTGGTTCTATTGTGAAAACTTTATCATCCACAACAAGCCATGACAGATTCAAACCATGATGTGCTACACATATTGGTTCCCTATATTGATCTGTCAAAAAGCTATTACAATATAAATATGTTCAGTTCTTTATTACTATGTAATATCACCAAAGTTGGTCTAACTTTTAATCTGTTATTGTGCTAGCTCAAAATCTTCACTCAAAGATCAAGGGGAAAATGGAGAAGATTAAACACATCAGCAAGAGGAGAATGTCAATCACTTTTTGGCATTAGTTCCTGTAGATTTGCCAAAGCCAAAGGAAAACATTGATCCCGTTGTTCTTGACACCACTGTGACAAAAGTTCTTGATGCACTGAGGCATGCTAAAGAGAACTTCAAACTCAAATGGAGAGAAGAAGTATGATTAGAGTTGGCTAATTTATATGACAATTTATTCATGGCATACTGGATGCTTATAGAACTATAGATATTATATTATGTTCAAGCAAACTGAAGAGTTCACTGTTGCCATGTAATATTCTTGCAATAAAGGACATTATTTGGTGATAACCTTTCTATCCTAATTGAAAGGTCAAGGCTCTGTCCTACTGGTGATCATCAAATCAAATTTGGTTGGTAAGTAAAAATTATTTATAACAACCAAGAAGCATAGAGATACTGAAAAAGAGAGAAATATGGAGGTTCACCTTGTATTACATAGACACAAAAAAGATTGCCTTCAAACAATCTGAGATCTCATCTGACACCAAATTACCCAAAAAAATCATTTGGAAAGAACTTCCAAAACTCAATTTTATTTTTGTAATTAACCAACCATTCAATGCAATGATGTAAACTCATAAGTATTTCCTTTTCATTTGTAAAAGAAGAAAAGGAGAAGAAAAATTTATAAAGTAATGCTTTAAATCCTTACAGTAACAGTTTCCCACATGTGTTGCAGCTTATATTCTTCGATGTCCGCCCATGAGTGTACACAGTGGACACATATTACGATCACGAACCAATATACCCAAGTATCTCGTAAATGAGACATGATTCTTTCCAACAACCCGATAGTGGTAAAAAGTAACGCTAAACTTTTCTCCAACTTTGAGTCCTGCAATGTTTTTACACCTATTCGTTCCTTTCACTTTTTTTGCCTTTTCAGATTCACATGGCCCTGCAAAATTCAATTTAAGTCAAATATAAAGGAGTTTTTGTACAATAACAACAAAACAATATTATAGCTTGAGACAGTAAGATACTTATTTTGCTTCTCTGAGTGTCTTGCATCACTTCTTCCTCATGAGGAAGGGGAGCATCATATTCCAATATTGGTTCAAAATCAGGAGGCGCAAAACTATCACTATAAGTTAGCTTACTCTGATCAGAAGCTAATACACTAAAAGTTTTACTTTTGCCAATCGAACCTCTCTGTTCAGTATTTACTCTTACAGATCCCAATGCTCTAAAACTTTGCCCTCGTCCCCTTGCTAAAATACTGGGTGGAACATACACAGGCTTCACAGGCTTGGAATTTGATTCCATTTTAGACTTCTGAGATTTTGATGTATTCATGTCAACCTAGTACAATTAAAAAACTGAGTAATAGATGTCTATCATGTCAGTTCATCATATATGAACATATGATAGAAAAACTTAGAGATAACAAAAATTTAGGAAGTCAAATTCATCATATAAGAACATGTAATAAGTCTAGTAGAGTGTTAGAAATATTTTCTGAACTAGTAAATCAAATGGAATCCAGTATGAAACTTTCATTATCACAATGAGTTGACAAATTAAATAAAGAGTTGATAAATATCCAAACCTTCATGAGTTCTTTTCCTTTTCAGTGAAGAATTATTTGAATCCTCTAGATCATTAATATTTTCTTGTAGAATATCAAAAGTATCACGAGGTTGAACCTTTCGTACAACATACCAACCTTTATTGGAAAGATCGTCAACATAAAAAACTTGTGATGCTTGGTTGGCTAATACAAAAGGCCCAGTTGTTTTCAGAAAATACTGGCGGTTAACACTTACAAAACCATATTCATCTATATTAACTCCCTTTTCTTGGTCATATACATCAAACCACGTACATTTAAATAAAACTACTCTTTCTCCACCAATAAATTATAATTCTAGAATATCTGTTAGTTCTCCATAGTAATCAATGGTCTTATTAGCTTCATCTGTCTCTCCAACTACAACCACTCCACATTTCTGAGTTCTCAAACCTTTATCATAATCTTGCACGTGAAACCTATATCCATTAATAAGGTAGTCACGATGACTTGTCACATATGTCGTAGGACCACGTGACAACGAGAGTAAATCTGCCATTTTCTTACTATCATCACTTTTGTGCAATCCTGCAATCTATCAAGATCAAACAGATATTTTAGAAAATAATATTTATATACTTGGTTTAAAAAATATTAATGTTAGCTGGTACTCACCTTTTCTTTTAACCAACTAATAAATTACCTATTCAAATTTTCTTGAGAGGTAACAACTAGAGTTAGTGAAAACTCTCTACAAATAATTGGAGCATAACTACATGTCATTTTAAATGAAAAAATAGAGGATGGATATAAAAGTAAATTATTGAAACAAGTTATTACTTACTCGAGAAATGGTTGAATTTCATCACAATTTTTCAAAATATAAAAATGTGCTTGCTCTAGTTCTTTTGAACCAAGTTTGTGCGGTTTGCCACCTCTTAAATCTCTTCCGGGTTGACAAAAAATTATTAAACGTCCATCAGATTCTATAACACCACCATCATAATTCCATTCAAGGCGATTAAAATTTATTTCCATTGTATGTAAATACCTTGAACATAAGGTCATACATTCAGTTTCTAAATATCCCTCTGCAATAGAACCTTCTGCGCAAGCTCTATTACGAATAAAAGATTTCATAAAGTATATATATCGCTCCATGGGATACATCCATCGATATTGAGAAGGTCCAGCAATCTTAGCTTCATTAGATAAATGAATTGGCAAGTGCTCCATGACAAAAAAAAAATTTAGGAGGGAAGACCTTTTCTAGCTTACACTCCGTTATAGGGATTTGGGAATCTATCTGCTCTAATTCATCCATGCTTAAATATTTCGCTCCAAGCACATTAAAAAATAAAGATAACTCAATAAGCGGTTCACACACAGATTTGCATAGCATACCCCGTAGAGGAAGTGGGAGTAAATATTGTAGAAGAACATGGCAATCATGACTTTTTAAACCTGAAATTTTCCGATCTTTAAGGTTGACACACTGAGAAATATTTGATGAAAATCCATCTGGGACCTTTAAGTTCTTCAAGAAACTAAAAAACCTGTGCTTCTCGTCAGGAGATAATGTGTAACATGCTTTTGGTAAGTCATATTTATCCCCAATTTTTATTGGGTGCAGTTCTTTCCTTATGTTCATTTCTTGCAAATCCAACCGAGTATTTATGGTATCTTTGGTTTTTTCTTTGATATTTAAGATTGTCCCCAAAATATTACCACAAATATTTTTAATGTGCATTACATCTAAGTTATGCCACAATAAAATAATTTTCCAATACGGAAGATCAAAGAATATGCTCTTTTTTATTCTAATTATCACCCCTACTCTCATGTGATATTTTAATCTTCTTCTTTGGATCCTTTGTGTAACATCCTGAAAAATTTTGAAGTACTTAAATGCTATTAAAAAAATTGATGTGCGATAATTATTTTATTTTATGTGCAGACGAGGACTATTAATATTATGGATATCAATTGGATATGATAATAAGTGCACGGGGCATATTATAAGTGAAACACCTGGGGTCTAAGGAGAGCCCTAAGTCCAAGTCAAGTTGGAAATTTCATGATAGACTAAAGTTTCAAATGGGTACGCACAAGATCAAACTTTGGACGAGTATATATATATATACATATATAAAGAGTTGTGTGATGAACAACCTATCAAATAACATATCTTAGAGTCTAGTTTCTAACGCTTCAAACCGTTTGTCATTTGGACACTTCTACAAGAAGTTATGACCAAATTACCAAAGGCTGGAAGAATGTGATTCTGCGGTCAGATGTGCGACCGCAGAATCATTATGCTAACCGCGAAACTGATTCTGCGACCGCAAAATGGTCGCAGACCTGACCAGTGCAGCCCAGTTCTGGGCATTGATTTTACGGTCCATTGTGCGACCCGCATACCCATTGTGCGGTCCATTGTGCGATCGCATACCTGAGTTCGGAGGGTCCATTTTACTATTTTCATAACCCGACCCCATTTTGATAAATAGGCTTTGGGGCTTATTTTGAGGCAATTATCTGATAATTTTAGAGAGAAGTGAGAGTGTTCTAGAGAGAAGAAGAAGTTCAAG